CCTTCCAGTTATCCATTCATATAGGTTTTTCAGGACTTATTTCTGGTTAGAATTTTTTAATAATCACGGGGAGAGAACAAGAACATAACGAACTCCTTTTTTATGAAAATGTAGAAGAAATATGGCTTCGCTAGCAAAGACATGAATTTTGGATGATCTGAAGTCAGTGACTGTCAGCTTATAGTAAAGCTGAGCCATAAACCATACCAATCACCCATGTAACAATGTATCAACTTCTATAACAAACTACCAGCTAGTTCAAAATGTAAAATGACTGTAGAACTTTCAGACAAGGTATACAATTTAATTACTTCAACTTGCTCGTGTTCTGAAGTCCTTAGAACTTTATTCAAACAAAAAGCATCATAGTGAAGTAAAAACTCATGTTTCGTAACACAAGCTTCACAGATCATTTCTGAAAAATAATTTCAGTGACTATTAATCTGTAACTAGCCATTGACATTCAAAATATTTACAATAATATATTGATTACAAGTTTGGGAAAATTTAGAATCACGCTTCTCTTTCAAATTAACTTTCCATGCTATGAAGTGTACAATATATTGCACATAAGAGATTAGTGAAAATATATCAGTCAAAAAACAGTTAATAATGGAAAGGAGTCAAAAAAAATATTGTTTTATAACTAGATTCACAATATGTATATTTATCTATTTGCAATAAATTGCAAATAATGACAGGTAATTTAGAATAACTTACCAGCAAAGTTATTAGATGGTACTTCTGTACCCAGATGCCTAGTATGATACCAGTCTTCACATATGATGCACTGAATCATCTCATCTGGAACAGGATCCTCAGGATCTGGAAATGGGCGATGACAAACACAATAAAGCCCAGAAAAATTTTGATTATACACATTCAGATCATTAGTATCGGTTTTCTCATTGTAGAGAGAACAATCCATGTTTGTGAATTTGGAATTTCCACAGTCACAGCGGAAATTTCTCTTGGTGTACAGTTCGACCAACTCGTGGCCATCGTGACAATGGTAACTACAAGCCAAACATACTCCGACCCCTTTTTCTGGGTCCGTTTTGGCCTCAGGAAGACAGGTAAGGCATGAATACAAGGCTTGTCTTTTAATGTACCCCTATAAATAAACAAGAATATATCATCTAGCAATATGAAAAAAAAAAAAAGAATTACCTCGACGTACGAACAAGTTTTATCATTTGCAGCTCCCAAAACTGCAGCTGTATTTTCAATCAATTCATTCTCAAACTCCAAAACATCGTTCAAAGTTAAGGTTACCGGATCAGTCTCCTCTCCAATATCGGGATTAGTATCGCTCATACTTGCTTCTGACATTGTGTGCTGATTTATTACAGAAAATTTCAAATATATCGGTGTATAAAGAAAGCGGAAGCAATTGCGTGATTGATATAGTCAAACAAATACGTCAAAAATTTTAACAGCTTCCTTCTTCTCCGACTCCAGACTTGAAGTTGCGGGAAATCGAAAAATCGAAAACATTTCTCAGAACCACAGAACAGTATTGTTTACTATTCTGAGTGTTTTGTGTCAGAACACCACTCAGACATTCGTGTTCTGTGTTGAAGCGACCAATGGAAAATTAAATTCAAAGGCATAGACCAAAGTTGTCCTCGATTGGTATTTGGTATCATCATCTCACTTTAGCGACTGGCATAAAACATAAAACTTACACCCAAGAGAAGGTGCGGAACAAAAACCATGACATTTTGACAATCTTGGTGAATTTTTTGTGATAGTTAAAATGCTAAAATTGGGCTAGTTTTGTCAAAATTTTAGCCTGACAACCTGTCGAGATGATGTGATAATTTCCCGATTGCTAATGCATCATTTATATGTTCGAAGTATAAAATAATTTGAACTCATTGGCTCACTGTTAAAATCTATATTGAACCCGTGAACCACAGAATATAGTCACAGAAACTTAACCCTTCAACATCAGAGTACCGCCAGATGAGTGCCTCGTCTTTGGTGGCATGTATTTGTTTCTGCATGGTTCATATCAAGATGCATGGAAATAAACACCATGGTGTATTCACTTAGACATCATCCTATGTAAAATATTTTGACGAAAACACTCGATCTACGGCACTGTTGATTCTTCATAAAATAAAGAGATCCAATGTACTTCGGCATTCCATTCACAGAGACGCCAAGCGCACACCAATGTTCACATTTGGAAACAATACTTGTTACTTGTTTCTATCAACGTATACGATGGTATTTCTCTGAGGTTTTAAACCGAGGTTTGAAAAAAACCTTGTATACATTTTTCTTATTTCTTTTGATAATGGATGCTAGTGAATATGGAATGTTGTAAAATTTGCTCAAAATCTTTCAATCGACAAGGACATTTGAATTCTCATGAAAAAATACATTCTTACGAAAAACCGTTTCAGTGTAAAATCTGCTCAAAATCATTTATTCAAAAAAGTAATTTGAAATCGCATGAAAAAATTCATACTGGTGAAAAACCATTTCAGTGTGAAGTCTACTCAAAATCATTTGAAAATACATAAAAACATTCATACTGGAAAAAAACCATTTCAGTGTAGGATCTGCCTAAAATCATTCACTCAAATGAGTAATTTAGATTCGCATGAAAAAATTCATACTGAGAAAAAACCATTTCAGTGTGAAAACTGCCCAAAATCATTTGTTAGAAGTGATTATTTGTGTAATCATAAAAAAACTCACACTGAAAAAAAACCATTTCAGTGTAAAATATGCTCTAAATCATTCGTTCTGAAAACTCGTTTAAAAAGGCATGAAAGAATTCATTCTGGTGAAAAACCATTTCACTGTAAAATATGTTCTAAGTCATTTGCTCAAAATAGTAATTTGAAGTCTCATGAAAAAATTCATACTGAAATATAGTATTGTAATTGTTTTAAAACCGTCGTATACAGCAAACTGTATCAACGTGTTTCGGTATGGATTTTCATTAAATATCCCCATATCAATTCAATAATCTGTTTCATTAAGTATTTTCATTGTCTAATTTTAGCATCTTTAAATTCCTTTGTATCTTACTTTGATTGGTTTGTCATGTATTTTTTCACTCAGTCATTAGCAACATATTTTTTATTGCATTTCATCAGTTCGGACTTCCATTGCCTAATATTATATATATATATTGATTTGAAATACCTGAAAGAATCTGTAAAAATTTAAAAAGATTTGCTGAAAAATAACAATTTTATTAAGCAAAACACTGAAATTATAATGAAATAACATATAATGTAATAACCAAAAAAATGCACCACAAAACATTGTCAACCACCTTCAAACAAATATTTTTTATTGACCATAGAAGATAGCAAATGTTTAAAGAGGATTGTCATCGATTTGAAATTGAAAAATTATTGAGTGAAAAACGTCCTTGATTGAGGTTTGTAAAAGCCTCCATAAGTAACATTGGTCCTTTGAGCTTGCTTTTGTACCATAATATGGAGAAATCAGAAAGTACGCTGAAGTCAACAAAATCTTGTTTAGTCAACAAAAACTTATAGACACAATTTGAATGGCCAGAAGGTTTTTGACAAGGAATTGTCAGTGAGATGCAAGTTGGAGAAAGTTGCAAGGTAATTGATCTGTGATATAGTCTGTTTCAATTTCACCACTATACATATAGCCAATTACGATCCATTTCTAATTAGCTATTTGAATTAAACTTCAGATATAGAACAGAAAGGTCGATAAACTGATTTCCTCCACAAAAAATGACCTGTTATTCTCATTTCTCATTACAAAAAGGTCTACCTGAATTGATTTGAAATTGTGGAAGTATGAAATTTCTTGGTCTCATTGAACTGTATTATTAGTCTTTGACTAAATAAAGGATTTATGTATAATGTGGTGCATGAATTAGAGTTCACTGGTTTAGTAAACGATTGACCAACACCAGTACGTTAATGAAACTCAAGATCTGCCGGAAACATCGCCGCTGTCTATGGAAATGTGCAGAAGAATCCGGGGCAGTCGATTTCGCCTTCAGTTGCTGACCCAGGAACTGAAAGTAAACGACCATAGACAACGACGTGTTTTCGTTGAATAGACTCTAGAGCAGTTGGCAACGGGCTCTGGAGCAGTTGGCAACCGGCTCTGGAGCAGTCGGCAACTGACTAAGTTTCATCAAAGGAGATTCAGCGATGAGGCTCATTTCTGAATGAATGGGTACCTGAAAAAACAAAATTGACAAATTTGGGATGATACCAATCCACATGAGGTTCAAGAGCGTCCAATGCATCTTGAAAAAGTCACTGTTTGGTGTGGATTTTGGGCTGGCGGCCTCATCGGTCAACAGCGAGCACTATATGTCGATGATTACCAACTTCTTTTGGCCTGAATTGGATGATCTGGACACCAACGACAGGAAAGCGATACGTGTCACGCAGCTCATGCCACATTGGATATTCTGCACGAGCGATTTGAGGGCATGGTCATGGAAATGAATAATGAAACACATTTTTAATTATATTAGATATTACAATTGCATAAAAGGATTGAGAAGAAAAGGTGCGTCCAAACATTTTTTACCGTGACCAAAATAAACAAACCCGTGCTGACTAGTTTTCAAATAGTGAAAGAACATCAAACCAGGCCAATAAATAGACTTCAAAATAACCATATCTTCCGACGAAGTTACGTGGATTATCCAACAACCTTCAGGAATATCTATATCTAACGGATCCAAGAAGTCCATAGCATAGTTGTAATCATCTCTTGTCAAAAGATTTGTGTTATACTTTCGAGTTGGTTGTCGGAAATGAAGAAATGATGTAATTTCTCTTGCCTCCAGAGGGGAAATCCCTTCGAAGCTGAGGTTCTCTATAATTACTCCGTCTGGTCTTTTGAATAGAGCGCCTCTTGGTACTACCCCAACTTCTTCGATTATTAGATGAACAGTACACGCTAAGCGATCTTCTTCTTTCAATTTTCTCAGTTGTGGTTGTTTCCTCTTTCCAGGAACCAATGTTTCATCTTTTTCTATCAATACATCTACCACTAAGGAAGGATCTCCTACAATACGAGAAAGCGTCATATTAATTTAATTTTTGACTAGGTATAGAACTTACCTTGAAACTTCGTTGTGCACAAAGGAGTGAGTATTGAACCGTTCTTGGTTGGTTGAGGAAGCAGTCCCCAGTCTATACAGTTTCTACTGTAATAATAAACTTTTCCATAAATAATATCTCTAGTGTATCCGTAAGCTACGTAATAATCATTTTCAGATCCTAATATCTTGCCCCAAAAGAATACCTGTTTGAAATGATTTTCGTTTTGAAGTATGAGGAGTGAATTATGCAGTATCATTCCTTCTTCCACACTGATTATATGGCCAAAATGTCCAGTAGAATCCAAGCTTTTCAAAACCGAGTTCAAATTCATTTCTCTAATGTCCTAATGACATTGACATTGAAAACACTGAAAGTTGAAACTAAATTCAGTAAAAATCTACCAGCAGGTATGCTGATTGTGAGTTTCACATTTTGATACATTCAAAACGACCATTAACTATGCTGATATACAATTAGAATCACAATTATTTATTCACATTCTTATTTCGCCTTCTTTTTTGAATCAACATTATAACATATCAACAAATTAAGTGTGGAGGTTCGGCGAGCATCTTCCTTGCGTCAAAAGTGTGTCTACGCACAAGTTCTAAATATTCTGAAGTGGAATAAAAACAGTTTTTTGAATATTTTTTTATAACTTTTTTAAAACAAAACATATTCATATTTTTAATATTGGCAGGAAGTGCATTATACAATTTAAAATCACAGGAGTTTTTTTGTGATTTCATCAGCCTGAAACGTTGAGGTCTAATAAAATTGCTGTTACGTGTATCATGATTGTGTAAACTGAATTGCTTGGAAAACAAGGGGGCCCTTTTGTGAACATATCTAATAGGCTTGAGTAAACATACAAAGAAGGCACCGGCATAATTTCATGAGTGATGAATGATTCACGGCAAGAATCCCTAAAACCGATTCCAGCGAGAATTCTCAGAGCTTTTTTCTTTAATATAAAAATGCATTGGGCATCACTAGAATTTCCCCAAAGTAGAATACCGTAAGAAATGTGAGACTGTATGAGCGAGCGAGTGAAAGCACTCAATAGCTCACTTTTCAAACTTAAAATGTGGCTTGACCAATTTAACCTATTGTCCAGAGTAAAACCCAATAATTTGACACACTGGAATTCAGGTAATGGCAGAGCCATAGAAACAAACATGTTTTGTGATTTTTCCTTATTCATCATGAGTTTGTTGACACTGAACCAGTGCTCCGCCTTTTCTTGTATTTTCTTAGACTCATCAACAAGATCTTAATAATTCATAGAATAGAAGAGTATATCAAGTATGTATTGTCAGCAAATAGTACACTGTGACATGGCTTCAAATAGTTGTAAAAATCATTGATGTAAATAACGAACAAAAGCTGGCCCAAAACCAATCCCTGCGGTACACCTAGATCAATCGGCCTCGGCTCAGAAAATGTATTGTTATAAAAAACTCTCTGGAAACAATTATTCAGGTAAGTTTCAATCAAACCCAAAATGATGAAATAGTATAGATTAATCAAAGGAAATGTTTCGGGAAATAATGCGACTCAGTTCAATTTTGATGGTATTTGTGGAGCTGCTTAAGATATCAACCTGTAGATACATATTCCCATTTCCGAGTATTCAAGTGACGATGACGGGTGAAAAAAAACCATAGTTTGTGGAGTGGAACAATATTTTTAATGTTTCGGTACTGACTCTGGTCTGTTTGTTGACATTCAAATGAATTAAAGATAAAATCTCCTCACAGTTGATGTTGCCAGTTAAAAATTTTGTTTAAAAAACATACATTTAAAGTAATTCTTCTATTCTTTAAAGATAATAGATTCATTTGATCTCTAATGTTGTATGCATATTCTTCCCTTCTTAGACCTAACTTGTATGCACAGATCCCCAGGAAATTGTTTTGTACAACTTCAATTTGGTTTATGTGTATCTCATAATATGGCCACCAAATTATTGAAGCGTACTCCAATAGTGATCTAACTAATGAACAATATAATAACTTAAAAGTGTTCAAACCGAATTCCTTACATGATCTATTGATGAAGCCCAACATCTTGAGTGATTTAGCTATAATATACTCATTATGAGATTTGAAGTTCAATTCACGATCGAACATAATTCCTTAGTCCTTTATCACTGATTTCCTATTAATTGGTATATTATTGATACTGTAGTCATGTAGAACAGGATGAATAATTCTAGAAAATGTTTGGCAGAAACATTTGGATATATTCAAATTCATGTGATTCATAATACAACAGACATAAAATTGTGACAAATCTTCTTTTAAGAGTGAGACATCGTTTGTAGAAGAAATTGATTTGAATATTTTTATATGTATGAAGTATATTATTATCATCATCATCAACTTACCTTTTCAATGATTGCCTTTTCCATTTTGTGCCTCGACATAAATATAAAACATTTCTAGCAAGCACTCAACTCCAGTAATAATAAAATCAATTTTAAGAGTAGATTTATTGATAATGTAATCAACATCAAATACATACAGACATATTTCTCTACATTTCAACATAGTACAGCAGGATGTAGTTTTAAGCAAAAATTAAAACTAAACCGAAGATCCCCAAAAGTGTGCTCTACTCGAGAACTCGATATAAATCTATATTGCAAAATAATCACATTAATAAAATCACGAACTATACCGAAATTTGGTCATATTTAAACTCTCTATATTTAACACTAAGATTTAAAGCATCTTAACGTATTAAACAACAGATACCAAAAGCTTCTCGAAAACTCTCCGAGAAATTCAGAAAAGAAATAATACAATGATTCTCAGTACTCTCAAATAGTTTCATTTTCCTTCAAAATACATAATGAAGATAGCCTAATAGATAATACAAAATCAATTTACACGCTGACCGTCTCGCAAACACAAACGAGACCCAAAGTTAATCTTTTTGAATACTACAGCAGCCAAGTGAATATTATATTAATTTATACACAGATAAAAGTGGCTCACTTATGCCTGGATGTGTCAACGTGTCAAAGGTACATTCTCTTATGTGAGTTCAATTCAAATGGAAACCCTTCTCTTTTGTCGCTGCCAACAGTCTTTGCCTTAATATTTCCTCGGTGGAATAATCCGGCAATTTGAGATAATGGACACATGTGTTCACTGAGGGATACGACCCTTCACCGGCATCTACCTTACGTACAATTGTGAGTCGTGGGTACAGGTTCGCCAAACCACCAGGAGGCAGAGAGCTGCACCCAGTTGTGAACTGCAAAAAGGCTTTTCGTTCTTCGGGTGTCATGTTCACCAACACGTTGACAAATCTCAAGAAGCCAGGACTAGAAATGAAAAAAAAATACACATTAGCAATATCATAAACTAGTACTATGTTGCTGTATCGCTGCTGTTCCAATGTTTTGACAGAATCACAATCAACGAACTAAGGCATGCGCATCATTATAGAACAGTGCTTTCAAAAAATTGTTCTACAGCGCCATCTAGTGGCAAGTTACAGAAAAATTGATAGCCAATAAACCTTCTCTATGGAAAAATAGTACATCTTGACGATTGATCTAAAATTTTGTTTATAATTAATCATCACCAACAAGTGGAATTTTTTATTTTTCCACTGTTACTGTTGAGGAATTGAATTGAATTTATATTGTCTACCGAACTGGCCGTAAACAATAAATAATATATGGAGTTGTATTTCCACCAAACGGACAAAACAGCAAATGTGTCGATTTCAACTAAACAAAAACTTGGGTTGTCAAAATTTGAGACGTTTTGAAGACTTTGTATTGCTGGGGACTGTTTTTGGTCAACAATGAAATGTCCCATCGGCAGACGGAAAGATCAAAAGGTTTTGGTTTTTTGTCTGTATTTTTGTAAACAGAGTTTGCTATGTGGAAATGGTCGGCGACAACAAGAAGCAACTTTTCTGTTCATTATTTTATTTTGGTGTGACTTCATGTGACAATTACTTTATTTAAAGTCTTAATTAGTGGAGGGTATAAATGTCGATAACCTTAGTTCTTCATCAATTCCTATATCATTCATCAAATCCGTCATAGTTTTTTTTATTCTATAATCTATTCGTCTTCTTAACAATGACCTTGTTTTTTTTTGCTTTCACTTCTTTTGATCAAAAGGTTTGATTTTAAAAAACGCAAGCCAATATAAAAACATCGCCTAGATACGGCATAATGAAAACTGTTTGTGTAGTGGAAATGACAGAAAATGTTTCACAACAAAACACGCGACTTAAACTACTTTTTGTATGTTTGGTTGAATTCAAGTTTGGAGTTTGTTTTTAAAACTGAAACAATTTTCTTGTTTCTGGTTTTGAAAATGAAACTAGTCGCAAGCGAGTTCGTTTGGTAGAAATCCACCTTAACTCTTAACTGAGTGGAAAAGAAAATCTATAAACAAGTTTTTAAGAGGATTTCGATCTACATCATAAATGGTGTTTTTTCAGAGCCACGCCAAAAATTTCTAAATGTGCTAGATCATCAATGTATAACAGGAAAAAACTACAGAGCCATGTGGTGTAGCGTTTTATTTTCTTGCGTGATCACGGTTTATAGATGTATATATGTAAATAGATGTACACTGTATATACGTCTAATATGATCCAAAAACATCTATGCATCAATCTATCATCAATATATGCATTTCGCTCAATCCAGTTTAGGTTCCTACACTGATATTTCAGTTTCCATCGGTACACAAAAGATGGCATACCACTTCAGTTATTCCAATTTAGGAAAGAATCCAATCATCCTATCCTCTGAAATTATTTTTCGATCATCGAACAGTTACCAAGGTGATGTGATAGCAAATTGCTTTATGTGCAAATTTTCTTAATAAGATTTGAATTGCTGTATTGTTCTCGCATCTACATCACTTTGTAGTACCATTCTTGTTACAATCAGTAACCATTTTTGAAAAAAATCTCTTTTTAGGTTATGTTTTTCAAGCTATTTTTTATTAACTCCGTTTACTTTAAAACAAGTCGGCCCATCTTCTAATGATGTGAATATTCAAGCATATACTTTTCGTAGGGTTTCTTTTGAGGAAGACTCGTCCCAGACTCCACTTGAAAAACTTATCTTCATGAAATATGTGTGGTTTAGTCTCTGAAGAACAACTTTTCCAAACAGAGATCTAAAGAACATAATCTAAACAGGAACATTTTTCGAGAAGTTCTTCATCCAAACTGTATCATATTACCTGCTGCTTTTACCCATGAGGACATAACCCTGGATTCCGGATTTCACCCTCCGTGGTATATAAAGGCCAGAATTTCAAACATTTTTTTTATATTAGAATACATTTATTTTTGGTTTATTATAGATTTTCCTTATTTTGACTAGCACTGTATAGTTATATGTGTACATACATAAATGTATTTCTAGACTTTGTTAACAAGAATTCTGTTCTTTGGACAATAAAGTTCTTTCTCTCTCTCTCTCTCTCTCTCTCTCTATTCAAAACAGTGCAGTCAAAAGTGAAGCACAGCAATGAAATAGTTTCATTTGATAAAGTTACTGTTGACTATACCTCAGAAACTAAAATGCTTGGTTTGAGAATAGACCATTGCCTAAAACAATCAGACCACATTCATGACATATGTATTAAACTATCTAAAATGTGTTTTGCCTTAGCAGTCACGTCCAAACACTGTACCTCCAATATAGTTAGACAATATAGTTAACATGACACTCCATTGTACCAAAAAGGTCTTTTTTATATGGCATGTTAAAAAAAATAAGAAGTAACTTTCAGACACAAACTGAAAGAAAGTCCTCCTGAAACAGCTACTTTCATATAAACATTGAATTACACGAAAGAAAAAATTCTTTCGAAACAAATACTTTTATATGAACACTGAATTATACAGAAGATACTTTTCTCTATTCAGTTTGTATATCAAACATTCGTGGAGGAATAAGAATCAGATATCATTCACATGAGTTCTACTTTAAATCATCTGCAAATAATAGTGCTTTGGCGTGCCCGAAGCAATGAATAATGTTGTTAATGAATAAATTGAATAATAAGGGACTGAGGTGTGACCCCTGAGGAACACCAGAGGTTACTTCGAAGTCTTTTATACAGAACAGAGGATAATCAATAACTCCCTCTGAAATAAATTTGATGACAAATATTACTACAAACTCAGCCATGAAGATACAGGGCATTACTTTCTAATAATAAAATAATATATCAACTCGATATAAGAGGAATGTTGTAGTGTCACATTGCTAGAAGAACTTATATTTTGCCGTAATTTGGTCTATACTACTGCATGGCATTATTCTGTGAAAAAAATATTATTTATCCTCTGCACTAAAGAGCTCTTCACCAAAACTTTTTTGTGAACCTATATTTCCCGAACATAAACTGTAACAGTTTCTTGTGAAAATAAAGATTATTGAAGAACTATATATTTAACCTTTAGCCTGCTTGTACTCAATGTTAGTAATCTGTTTCATTATCAAGATCAAAAACAATATTTTCAGACATGTGAATATACATCAATATGAAACTAGACACAACCATTCTATCTACTCAAGCCAAAATGATCTTTAAGCAATATCAAATGGTCCATTCTTCATCGATATAAAAAGTTTTCATGAATTATTTGTACATATTAGAAATAAACCCATAAATTCCAAAACTTCATGAAAAATTTTGACGTATTGTATACTCTGGATCAACAAATAAATGAATTGGAATTGAAAAAATTTTGATAATTACAAAAACTAACCTGTCTTTTGTATATCCAAGCTTGGGCTCGGTGTAATTAATGAGATCTTCCATGGTCCATTCAGGATTCTGGTCACCACAAAGCATCACGCACATTTCATTCGGGCTGAAAGCAGCCAATTTCTCCATCGGGAACACTATCGAAAAGCCTTTATAGAATGCCTCCAACTGCCTTGCGATTCCCTTATCCAAACAAAACGATGTCGTCAGCTCTGCATATTCTTCTACATTTTCTATATTAACTTCTATATCAGCACCATTATTTACAAGTTCTACCGACGAGAAACCAAACACGCTTGAACTGGGGGCATAAGTGAAAGTCAGCGCTAAATCTTCCAGGAGGACGCTGCCAGACGAGTAGTTCAAACATAGATTTTGGATCTGGTGAGCCCTGGACTCAGGCGACAGGCTGTGGTCTTGTAAAATCTTCTGTTTCTGTTTAATCAAGTCGCGTATCTGTTTCATGAAATTAGCTCTGATAGGATCTATTTCGTACAAGTCATCCTCTCCTAATATACTAGAGTACCAAGGCCTCTTCTCCTCCACTATAATTTTTGGGGGATCAAGTTCCAGTTCCTTTTCGCTCTCCTCGGAAATGAAACTCGATGTCATCACATCTTCTTCGGCCACCTTAAAGATCAAAAAGAGAAATTTTCCTCATTGAAGTTTTATATAGAATTACAAGACTTATCAGTCTTGACAAGATTCATTCTCTCCGCATATATATATGCGTACAACTTCCTGAACTTGTATATTGATATTCCTATTGGAGATTTTTATGTCATTTATTTCACTTATGAATTATAAAAATTACAATCAATAGTTTTATTGTATTCTTCCTTTTAGTGTATTTTCAACTCTATTTTTGGAAATTGTATTGACGTTTGTAAAAACCGTGTGTTTCTACAGACTAATGAAAATAATGCAAACTTTCACTGTAGTAGATGAATGTGCCAAAGCTATTTTTCAGCTTTTTTTGGTAAGACATAAAAGCCTGCAGACAACGGCCAAAAAACCAGAAAATAGCTTTGACACACTATAATGAAAATCCTATTATTATTAATATCCAACCATGTTTCCTCCATTCATTCAAAGAAAATTGTTATAAATGTAAATAAGTCAAGAAAAAATTGCAAACCCAGTAGTTATTTTAAAACTTAAAAATAGTAATGTGATGATTAATTCAAAATTTATGACAAAAGAAAAGTGAACGTTTCCAACTGAATTGAGAAATTTAATAAACAGCCCAGATAGCGAAATCTTACTCATATGCAATTATTTTCATAAACTACACCTGACGATTTGATGTAGTTTATGAAATTACTATGGATCTTCATCATGTAACGGCCGAATCAATCAGAAAAAAAAGCATATGCAATTAAATTGAGAATGCCACAGGGATTGGTTTTGGGATCACTTCTCTATGTTATCTATGTTAATAATTCATGTGAGTTCATAACATTGTATTCTTACGATACTACTAATACAACTTGGCAATAAAACATAAATGGGCTATCAGCAAATTGATACTAAATGTATCACTAACAATGAAAATATTTTTTTCATTGATGAGAGTCTTCATTTGTATCTTATAGTTCACAAAACACAGTTAACATAGAAGATAAAGTGAAGTTTTTAGGTTCCAACTTGGACTGACTCACCAGGCAATTCCTGCGTAGACAGTATTTCTTTAAAATGAAACACATTTCATTGAACATTATTAGTTGGGAAAGGGCAAGAAATGTCTTTGTTCTGCAGGAACTAATCATGAAACTGATTTTCGCAATGGATTACTAAGAAAAGTTGTAGGCCAGTGAATTTTGACCACACCATACATTTATTTTTTCAAAAATGTCATGTTCACAAAGAACAACGACTCAAGTGTTTTGAATTCAGTTCGAGCTTACACAATTGACTATAATCACATACACGTTCCAATTAGTTTTTTGCATTTCATGATTGGCAACACTGATATTTGACATGAAATATAAAGAAGATGTGTAACTACTGTTATTGTAATTGAAAATTATCTATTCTATGTCAGGAATCAAAATGAGTTTGAATACTGTATTGAGGAGATAAAAACATACATATAAGAAAATAAATATTTTGAAATGAAGTTTTGATACATTCATCTCTTCTAAACAACCTCCTCAAAACAGTATTCAAACTCATTTTGATTTATGTCAGAGAATCTATACATGGGATGTTTTTCCCCATTTGGGAGTTTTGTTCACGGGATGATCACTAGTTAACAATATTTCTCTTAGACGCAAGTTTTATACGTGCAGTCGACCCGAGTTGAAAAGAATCGAGTCCCAAACACTTTGCTGTTTGCATTTATCGTTTTTAGTTGTAGTACTCGTTTTCATAGGATGAAGAATATCATCTTCACATGCACTAGATATAGATTTGACAAATACACTAAATTATTTCATTAAATGCAGTAAAATTTCAAATTTTTCAATTATAATTACAATAATAACACGTCTTCTACCTAATAATATGTCAAATACCAGGGTTGCCAATCATGAAACACCCGAAACATGTACAACCATTTTTACATGATTATAATCAATTACAGCAATCTTCTACCAATCACAAATCACAAAACCATTACATCCACCAAAATATAACTCCATCTGCCTATAGAAATATATCAGAGTCATATTCAGATTAGATTACTCAGACTTTATGTTAGTCTTGAATAACATTTCATGAAATTTGAGTATATTTGTTCATGTCAGTAGTTTTAATTTTGACTCGTGCATGTACTTCGCTTGGCCAATAAACATCACATTTATTAATGAAGCTACCATCATACCTTTTTATTGCCGGCAAAGCCAATTCTCTCGTTGACTGTATTCTGAATATCTCCGTGACACATCAATTTCAAGAAACTTTTGCTCAACGGCAAATCCACTAGGCGGTTGTCCTGTAGAATTTTTGCAAGTAGCACACCCAGAAAATGAAAATATCTAACAGCTTTATCACATATCTCAGAGTTTTGGGGAAGGGGGGCTGGGAACAAGCCTGAAGCTCTTCGGACATAGTAACCTGGAGGTTTTACGCCTTCTCCTAGATCTACTGGCTCGTTCAGACTTATCGCATCATCGTCGCAAATCCACATGCCCAAATCGCGCCTTTGCAGTTCTGCTGCCACTAGGGCATAGAACTCGAGAGTTGGGCCCAATCCTGAGAACAAAACATGGTCATTTTATTTTCATTGAATAGTTGTGAAAAAATTCAATTAGCACATCCATTACTCAATAATATTTTAACCTTATTGAAATTAATTTCAACTTTCAATTCACTTGACTACTTCTGAAATAATGATCCCAATCAATAACTCACTAAAAAATAATTTAATCCAGCCTAGTTTCCTCTTTAGATATTAAAATGAAAGTAATTGAGCTGTAGTACTTCGCTTGGAATATTGTACTTGTGTTTGGTCACCAACCAAAGTTCATATCAACTGCAATAAATTCTCAAATTATATTGCTTCTAATTGAAAATAGTTCTCAAAAGTTTTTTTATAAACTCTCCTGGAATTCATTCACAAATAGCAGAAAGCAGAAAAATAGAAATATCAAGCGCAGCAGGTGTTGACTCTCGTTTCTCGATTGCGTTATTCCAAAAATAGGTGACATAAGATAGAAGGCTGCCTGTTGATCTTTGTTTCCAAAAGCCATATTGATGGTCGCTCAAGATGTTAAAGCCTCACATATAAGTTTCCCCTCAACAAACACATAACAAAGAGATATTCGCTATTGAATACCACAGATGCAATTATGGAAAGCATTCTCCCTTGTCTTGATCTGTTTTAATTAAAAAAAGGGTTGATTTCGATTGTTTTCAATTGTCTGCTATGAGTTTTCAAGGTAAACTACGAGCCACTGTTTCGAACTGATTTGTCTTTCTGTTATACATATTATCATCAATATCACTGGGAATAACTTCAATCCCAATCAAAACTCAATGTATCATGTATTAGGAGGTTATATCATTATTAATATATGTAGTTTTCTAAAAATTACTCTCCAAACCCTAAATTTTTAAATAACTAGAAAATACTTCATTAAAAAAGTTCTTCTAGACTTATAAAGATTTTGATATAATAGCNTATATCTTTATACTTACATTTATTATAAGTTGAAGTTAGGTAGTGTAAAATAAGTATGTTGACTATTTTATTTTTTGTTAATTAGGATTGTCCTACTTAAATGAATAAATCAATTAAATAACAAAAATGTACCAACCTGTGCCTTCTTCGCCGGCAAACTCTACCTCCAAAATAGACTTCCTATCCGAATGGATTTTCATAACTTGCATCGCCCATTCCAATAACTGATCCCCTCTAGGAACTTTCACCCTTTCGTGTTTCAATCTTCCCACCCTAAACTCGTGCGGATCGTCACGTCGCGGTGACAATCCTGGTGTCCTCTGCCTCTCCATGGTAACGTCTCTTTGCGTCTGCAACCAAACGATGCTTCTGGAAGCGCCGAATGCGGTACAATTGAAGTACAACTGCCTGGTCTCGAACGGAAACAGGAATGGGCAAGAATGGTTGAGTTCCTCGCACCACGCAGGCAAGCTTGCGCTCGACAGTACCAGAGGATCTTGTATTTGCTGCAAAATTTTGTTGGTTATTTTCTTGCTGGAAAACTCCTCCGGAGAAATGTCTGGGATGTGGTCCAGCGAGTGGAAATCATTATCTTTCGTTGTTGTGATTACAAACAGATGTCTGAGGAGCTGCAAGACGTCTTCGACCGTACAGTTTGAGACGGAAGGTGTTCCGGGAACTGGGGTGCTGGGAGAGACGCCGGCAACGGAACTGCTTCCACTTCTAGAGTACTGAGTAGCAACTGGGGTGGCTCTTCCCTCTTCAGTATCGTATGTGCCATCATCCTTCACTTCTTTGTAAATTATTCTGAAAATCAACAATATAGTAAATCTGTCGTACTTTTAATCCCAGTTGACTTTGAATTTTCAACTAAACATTACACTTGTTTAAATCAATAATGTTGTACTCACAAATATGTTGGTTCCCAAATTCTTCTTTGCTTCTCCTGCCTGGAAGTGAACTCTGTCATCTGCATCAATTCCTGTACTGCTCTGAATATCGTCCAAGACGAATCGTTCAATTCAATCTCGACGTCAGCAACACCAGGCATATTTGGCCCTTTCAGGAACAACTGCAGTTTGGGTTGTGGGAGCAGTTCGTGCTCCAAAACTGAACTACTTTCTTCTTGTCCAGGAGGTGGTACCTCGAGATCTAACAGAAAATAATAATAATAACAACATGTATGCTGATGA